AAAAAAAAAACTTAATTCTGAAAAGCAATCATGTGTTAAAGGATACTCCAGAGACAGCATAACTAAATGTAATGTGATCACGCAGTGTACTTTTTCTTTGATATAAAGGAAGTTTGTCCGGGGACTGATAGGATTTGAATGTCGAGATCATGTCTTTAATGATCAATGCATTCTGCAAGTGTGCTCTAGAATAGAAAAGCCACTAGACGATGGGGTAGTTGAGACATAGCTAGTGTGTATGAGAGACTGAATCTCTATTTAACTGTATTAGTTTAAATAGCACATGCAGCCACTGCCACTGTGATGCATGGCACAGGCTTACAGATTGGTCAATGACACTCTGTGAATGTTAAACCCTGACTCTGGTGATTGCCCTTCTTTAGGAAATGCTGACAGTTTCAGAGACCAAGGAGCATCATGTATGTAATTTAAACACTTTAACGTACCATTTAAAGTCAAAGCAACAATAATGCAAATGTGGGACTTTTGGAGACCATGATTGACATATATACAAACTTTTCTGTATTGTTTTTATAACTTTTTTCTAAGTCTGTAATTTAAAATAATGTTGCAAAAGAAAAACACCAGCACATCAATGCTAGTCTCACCAAAAATCTCTTTATAAATGTGAAGGTATTAACAAAGTATATATTCATTGCTATATTTTTTTCACCTTGCTATCACAATGTGAATGGTCAACTACTAGTCTAATTTTAAATGTGTGTGTGTGTGGGGGGGGTGTTTAGCCTGCATGTTTATCTGTGAGCCATTTGCTTGCCTGGTGCCCACAGAGGCCAGCAGAGAACACTGAATCTCCTGGAACTGGAGTTAAAACAGTTGTAAGCCACAGTGGGTGAGGGAATCAAACTCAGGTCTTCTAAAGAGCAATGTTTAACCCCTGAGACACAGCTCCAGCCCTGAATTTTATTTTCATAAGGAAAAGTTTATCATTCTGTAAATAAAATAATCACTGTGTGATCCAAAGTGTGCAATGCACTAAAGACTCCCAAAGCTTTCAGTTACCAGCAAAGAAAACGAGTTCATAGTTTGCCCTCAGTGCTGAATAAAGGCAGGCAAGCTTTTTAGAAGGTAGAATCACTGAGAAAAGCATTAAAAACAGTTGCTTTCTCTCTTTTTCCCTAAGGAGTAAATAAGTTAACCCATCATCATTAGAGTAAAATGGAAAGCCCCACAGAGAATTTTCTTTAGTGGGCTCATTCCTAGGAAAAAAAATCAAGAAAAACATACCAAATATTTTGCATTTATATGATCAATTAAGCGCTAATGATGAATGAGATTGTTTAACCTTTCTGAGTGGTACATGTTAAAGTGGGAGGATTTTGAGTTTGAGGACAACCTGAACCACATCATGAGATTCTTCCTAAAGAATAATACCACCAACAAAATTTTAACACAAAATTTGGGAAAGAACAATCTGCTTATTCTTTAGTAGAATTTATTGTTTAATATTTTTGAACTCTATTCTGAATCAGAATTTTCTTAGTTAAAAAACTACTTAATTCAGTATAAATCAAGTTTCCATCATAATTTCCTAAAACTATGCTCAGAATGAAGTAAAAAAATGTGGTTTTCATCAAATCCAATGTTTGAAAACAGAGACAATGCCTTCCTTCTTGACGATGCACATTTTCCTGGCTTTCCAGTCTATATCCTGTTTACAAAATCTTTGGAATGCTCTGCATCATTCACTTATTAACTTTTAACATTTATTTTCAATTCTCTTGTTACTGGAAATAGTTACGTTCTGTAGGACACATGGATGTGGAATTAGTACACAGTCTTCCTGGTTTATTCTGAGAGGAAATATAGGGATAGTTTTTATTTTTTAAATTTATGTGTCTATGTGTATGCTTTGTGTGCTGGTGAACTTGTAGGCAAGAACCCTTGGAGCTGGTGTTGCAGATGGCTGTGAACCCACTGACAATGGATTCTGGGAACCCAACTCCAGTCCCCTGGAAGAGCAGCAAGAGGACTTACCTGCAAAGCCATCTTCATAGCTCCCAGTACACATTTTTTAAAAATGTGTGTTTCTGCTGGGTGCTTACCTCAGTGGTACAGCACCTGCCTACCATGGATAAGTCTGTAAGTTCAGACCTCAGCTCCACCCGAAGAAAAAAGTGCTTGTTTTAACATACTTTAAGATTTTTTTTTTTTATTTATCAGCATGGAACTGACTATGAAGAGCATCTATGTGCTCCATAAAGTGCATTATAGCCGGGCGGTGGTGGCGCACGCCTTTAATCCCAGCACTCGGGAGGCAGAGCCAGGCGGATCTCTGTGAGTTCGAGGCCAGCCTGGGCTACCAAGTGAGCTCCAGGAAAGGCGCAAAGCTACACAGAGAAACCCTGTCTCGAAAAACCAAAAAAAAAAAAAGAAAATCATAAAGTGCATTATAGTCTACTTGCACTAACGAACACTGGAAAGCAATTACACAATATGCTCTGGGGCCATTTAAAAGAGCAAGACCACTAAAAAAGTAAATAAAGAAAAAAAAACATAGCAAATAAAAGCCAAAAAGTGGTATGTGTGTAAAAGCTGAAATGAGAGGCAGGGCGTGGCTTCCCCTGGTCTACACTGGGAACATGGGCAAATCCATTCTGGCCATTCTTGCACAGCCACAAATTGAAAGAGCAGTTTGGAAGAGCAGTTAAGTGTTGATCTGAGTGTTATAAAGAAATATTCGTGATTAGGAAAAATTGAAATACCATTTGTGACCAGAATCAACTCACTTGGCTACAAACCCCGCAACCTACAACAGTGACTGGCTTGCAAGATGCACTGTGCAGTGGTGGCCCACACATCATGGGAGCAACCAACCATGTTTACAAGTTGGATTTAATGTCCATCCCATGGGACGGAGCCCATACCCGACAGTGCTGAAGTATCTAAGTACCTGAGATGAGATAGGTCATGGGCCCTAGGGAAAAACCTACACCATTATTTTCCTAAATTAACTTAGCAATAAAATAACTCTTAGTGACACATACCCATAGATAAATACATTGCTCAGCCATTGTCAGAGAAGCTTCTTCTTGAAGTAGATGGTAATTAATATAGAGACTCACAATGTGTAGACAGTAAGAGATTATGGAGTGTTCAGACCTGAATGTGATCTCTTTATCAGACCTCTCCCCTCAAAGGTCACAGATTCATATAAAAGATGTTGTGGAAAGATTGAAGGATCCAGAGGTAGTGGATGATTCCAAGGGAAAAGCAGCTTTCAGACACAAGAGGACTGATGTACGTAAGAACTCACAGAGCCCGTGGCAGCATGAATAAGATCTGCACAAGCCAGACAAAATCCCAGCATGGAGAACAGGAAGTAAACACAAAACCCCTGCCCCTACAATTGGTACCTCCTGGGAAAGGGGAAATCAGTTTCCTCCAATGACATGACACTGGGTATATCAACCACACTCTTGGGCATGCCCCATGCACAGAGGAAGTTGACCAAGACAAAATGAACTCTGTGTTTTTTGTGTGCTTTTGTTTTGTTTTGGTAGGTTTTGTCTTATTAGTTTTTTGTTTATTTATTCTTACTTTTATTTTTATTTAATCAAATTTATTTTATTTTTATTTTTAGAGAAGGAAAAAGAACAGAGCAGAGAGAATCTGGGGACTTGAGGTGGAGAAAGTATAACCAAAATATATTGTATGAAAGCTTTTTCTAAATAAAAAAGACAAATAAAAGATCTGAGCATGATGTAACCCTTGTTTGCCTCTCCAGCTTATCTTTTGTATCTGCTAATGAGTGAGGAGACGCTGTGTCTGTATACCACCAATGCAACTGATCCATGGTACCTGCTCTAATTGCAACAGTCTTGACTTCTTCCTCAAACCAATTCTAGGTCCTAACTGCTCTCTGCTGTGTTTTACCAAGTGAGCGCCTCCACTGGAACAACCCACAGGCACACATACACCACCTGTTACTACACTTCTTGCCATCACAGTGCTGGGAGCTCTGTAGGTTGGTTTTGACTAAATCTCCACTGTTGGATTTACCAGTAAAGACCTGGGAGCCAGATGCTGGAGTGAAAACCTGCTAGCTCAGAGAGGCAGGGGAAGCACCTGGCTGACCTTCCTTCTCTACCAATGTCCCAGAAAAATAAAGACCTTTCTCCTATCCATCTCAAACAAAACTCCTCAGAATCAATGTCCCTCGCTTCTACTTCCTGTGCATCTCCCTATCCATCCTCCTGACTCCCTCTTACTCTCTTTGGGTTTTTTCCTGCTAACTAGTTACTGGCTCTTGACTTATGGTTGACTTCTGTTTACAATATTCAAGCAGAAAGCTCTTGGATTCAAGGTGTGTGCTAGGGCTGAGTCACACCACAACTAGAAACAGGTTTTCTAGTAAATAATACAATCTCAGGGTTCAGTGTCACCAGATACCCTGCAACAAATGTATGCTGTCACGTGTAGCTCTCTGTGGGCTGTGAGGATGCAGGCTCAGATCTTCACACTTGTAGAGCAAACACTTTACCCACTGCGCTACCTCCCAGGTGCCCCCACTTTGCCCCAACTGCATTTTATGTCAAATCCCCGAATTCTTGTGTTCAATTCCACCTGCCAATAATGTTTAGCCACTGTCCTTTTTTTTCCCCCGAGACAAGATCTCAAGATCTTTCCTTGAGGCAAGTTCCAAGCTGCTTTAGAATTAGTTATGTACTGAAGATGACCTTGAATTTCTGATCTTTTGGCCTCCACTTCTCAAGTTCTGAGAACATAGGTTTGTGCCACCATGTCAAATGTATTCAGTGTTGTGGACTGAGCCCAGGGCTTTGTAGGCAAGCACTCTACTAAACAAACTACATTCCTAGGCCTTCATCTTCCTAACAGTCTACTGGATCTGGTTTTCTAGTATGTAAATGAGAATTTTGCATATATTCATACTGTCTGGGGTGTTTTAAAAAACACATTTTGATGCCCTTGGTATCAAGGTAATGATGCCCATATTTCATTAGAAGCATTTCTTTCTTGTGCTCACGTTGGTAGCACATACGCTAAAACTGGAACCATACAGAGAAGATTAGCATGGCCGCTGTGCAAGGATGACCCAAAAATTCACGAAGAAGCATTTCTTTCTTTTCTGTCTTACGTTTGAGGATTGAAGGGAATTATTTAAATGTACAATTTATTGGCAAAGCTGTTGTTCTGTGTATTAGCCTTCTGACATGATAATGCACTGCCTGGGACAGTCATCTTATAAAAAGACAAACTGGCTCTCAGTGTTGAAGTTTCAGTAAATGGTTGGGCAGACACATTGAGTCGCCCATAATGGGGATGAGTGGGAGTGGAAGGGAATATGTGTAAGGGCAGGTCCAGAAGCAGAGAGGGAAAGTCGGCCTCCCCCGCCATACTCTCTATTCCCAAAGACACCACACAAAATACAACCTGCTCCTAATAGAGTCTCTCTGGTGTCAAAACTCTGAAACCTGAAACTCTGGCAGGGCCAGTCAACATCATGTCTTCAGCTGCCATGTTTTCTTTAGAACAGGATTTAGATCAATTATCTTTGCTCATTAAAGATGTTTACAGATGTACATTTCTTCATAACTTTGATTGTTTATGTTTCTATGAATTTGTCTTCTTCCTGCATGCTATCTGTATTTTCAACTTACACATTTGACAATTGGCTAATATATATATATAGGAAAAAAAAACAATCAGTCAAACAGTTCAAAAGCAAAACCCTAAATAACATGACTTAAAAATAAGCAAAAAATATGAATAGAGGAAAGAGCATAAGAACATCTATCAGTATATTAAAATTTCCAACATCCCTAATCAGAGATTGGGAATCAAAACCACACTGAAATGACTGCCTTATTCTAGTTAAAACGACCACTATCAAAAGACAGAAGTAACAAACACTGGCAAGGATGTAAAGAGGGAAACCCTTACAAACCCTTACAAAGAGGGTAAATGGAAATTAGGATGCCCATATGGAAAAATAGTATAAAAAGTCCTCAAGAAATAAAAAAAATGTAACTATGGTGTGATATATTAATTTCACCACTGAGTATATTTCCAAAGGAAATATGTGAGCAGTATGGTAAAAATATTTGCATTGTATTGTTTACAGTAACAATAATTACAAATAACTAAGATTCAAATCAAACTTAGTGTCCATCATGAGATGAATGAATAAATACAATGACGTTTACATATACACTATGATTATCATTCATCTATAAAAATAGAACCCAGAATCTGCAATAACATGCATAAACTTGGAAGTCACTATGTTAAATGAAATAAGCAGGCACAGAGAGACAAACACTATACTCAAGTAATCTAAAAAAGCAGTCTCATATAAATCAAATGAACAGAGGCTACCAGAGAACATGAAGCTATGGAGGAGAAATGGATGAGAAACATGAAAAGTTCAAAATTACAAATAACAAGAAAGGGTAAGTGCTGGCATTGGGCCGCACATAATTGCTACAATTAACAGTGAAACATGATATATAACAAAGTAGCTAGAAGAAATAGCTTTAAATGTCCCAGCACAAGGAGCTGTGTTTGAAGAGATGGGGATGTTAACTACATTGATTCAGCCATTACACAATATATATTTATATGACAACACAAAATTGTACCTCACAAATACATATAATTATATACTACTTAGAAGTAATAAAAGCAAGGTGGAGTGGCACATGCCTGCAGTCTAGGTACTCCAGTGACAGAGGCAGGAGGATCGCTCAGCCTCAGGAGTTAGACACCAATGTAGGCAGCACAGGGATATCACAGCTCAAAGAGAAAGTGAAACTAGATTATGATTCAATTGTATGCTGCCTAACGGAACCCAGCCTAAAATAAAATGATACAGGCTTGTTGAGAACAAAAAGATACATAAAGGTGTTATGTCAACACAAGCAAAAACATGGCAGGCATGGTTACATTAGGATGAGAACTTCAGAGCAAACAAAATCTAAAATACAGTGACATTACATGTGGTGGTTTAAAAGAAAATGGCCCCCAAAGGGAGTGGCGCTGTTAGGATGTGTGGCCTTGTTGGAGTGGGTGTGGCCTTGTTGGAGTGGGTGTGGCCTTGTTGGAGTGGGTGTGGCCTTGTTGGAGTGGGTGTGGCCTTGTTGGAGGAAGGCTGACTGCGGAGGGCCTTTGAGGTCTCACGTATGCCCAAGCCACGCCCAGTGAGACAGTTCACTCCCTGCTGCCTTTGGATCAGGATGTAGAATTCTCCAGCACCATGTCTGCCAGCACACTGCCACACTCCCAGCTACCATGCTCCCCACCATGATGATAATAGACTAAACCTCTCAAGCTGTAAACCGCCACCTCAATTAAATGTTTTCCTTTATAACAGTGCTGTGGTCATGGTGTTTTGTCCCAGCAATAGAAGCCCTAACTAAGATGTTACATTATGATTTAAAAAGCCAACCCACAGAGATCACACAACAATGTGCAAGGCCTTTGTAGCATCAGGGCTTCAATATATTTAAGGCAAAAACT